TTTTTTAAAATCCAATGTGTGGATCACATAATATTTCAAAAATTTTAACTTTTGAGTATAGATGATCCGCACTGTATCAGTAATGCCAACCGGTTGAAGCAAAACTTTGAGGTAAGTAGAAGATTCTTTTAATTTTTTCACTTCATTTCCTTTTTTTCAGAATAAAAAAAAAAGAATGAATTAGTCAGTATGAAAGACTTCCAGTAGTCCTGAGAAAGGGTAAAACTCACACAACTATGGTGGGCATTTTACATGTTACTCACTTTACAGTCTTACATGTCCGTTGTGGTCTGCCAACATGCAGTATGGGAGTCTTTGAGTAGTCCTGAGAAGGAGTAATACTCACACAACTATGGTGTGTTACTCACTTTACAGTCTTACATGTCTGTTGTGGTCTGCCAATATGTTGACCACCTTATGGCCTTATGTGTTCATTGTGGTCTGCATCATATAAATATAATAAAAATAAAAATTCAATACAAGTTGTCATACTAATTCATTTCACTAATTTAATGGGGGATATTGTGATTGCTGCAAAGATATTGATGTATTTTGGAATAATATCAAAAGCAACCTTGCTGATATAATAATCAAACCCAGAGAAAAAGAGCTATAATTGACTGAGGTTTAGTTTCTTGAAAGTTTTTTAAAGCATTTTCTTTGATTGTTTGTCTATATTGAATGTCATTTTTGGTTGCAGATTTGTGTGGCCTGTTCCGTGATGAATAATACCACAACAATACTTCAAACTGCCATTGGAAGGGTCAATGTGGCATTGGTAAGGATAAGTGCGATGGTGAATGGTAAAAAGTAAAATAAAAATAAAACAATGGTTATTTACTTCATTGTGCATTGTTACTGAAGAATGTTGGGAAACAACCACCAGAATCAATGATAGATAATGATGATACAGGTTCAGTCTCCTCAGATGATATTAAGAAGGTCAGAACAGATAATAATTCTATATAAATGTCTCTTCTCGGAACTTGTGAAACTTACACAGATTAAGATGACAAAAGATCTCTCTGTACAATCACAAGATTTGATGCTTCATCACCACTACATTTTTCTTTAATAGATTCTGATAATGAATTTAATGAAGGTGACAATCAGATGAAGAAAATATTGAGGAAAATAGCATGTTCTCTAATGATATAAATGAAGTTTCATTGAGCAAGCAAAGTAAAACAGAATCCAAATGGAAACTAAAGGATGGTCATTTAATTGTTGATGTTCTTAATGCCAAGTTCACTGAGATGGTGAAATTAGCTTTAGAAAAAGACAAAAAAGAGCAACACAATTTATGAAGAGTGTTATTCAGTATGCTCTTATTTTTTTGAAATAAGTTATTAATAAAAAGAAATGTCTAATATAGTAAATACAGATTAGGACTTTCTTCAATTGTTGATCTGTCTTCCGAATTTAAAGATGGAATGTATACATGGTTTGGGTGGGAGTGAATGGATATTAAAATAAAGGTCTATGGGATTGTCAACATGGAACCAAATATGTTTGATTGAGAGATAAAAAATGTTATTGACACTGTTGAAGAGGAAGTAGCCATTTATTGATTTGTACATATATACATATCATTGCCTCACTACTTATACATTTATTTTGACCATTCACAGATGTGTGATATGTGCCATTCATAGTAACCATGATTTTTTTTCACGCATAGTGCATATAGTGTGCATGGTAGCATAGTGCGCATAGTATATATCATAGGGAGGGAAATATCATAAATGCACATATAATAATAAGAAAGTAAATGGCTTTTTTTTTTTAGAAATGTTTATTAATAAGTAAATGTCTATAAAAAATATATCTAAAATCTTATGCGTGGCACATCTCTAGATATAATGAAGTTCGTGACTATTTGTATAAGATGAAAATTACATATATTTCTATGTGTAAGTTATAAATAAGTCCCTAATTTTTGTGATTTGGTCACATTGATTATCTACTGATTATGGTGTTCGATGGTGGTTGATCATCAAACATATGTTACATCAATATAACAAATTATTATGTGCGGATTTTTTAGTATCTTTATCATATATTTCAATACATTGTAAATGTTGACAACAAAATTCAACTAACAATATATTTTTTTGAAAATATGAATTATGAAAAGAAATTTCTATTAATTTATCAGTTGCAATGTAAATTTTTATGATAAAATTTAATAATAAATTGAATAATTTTAAACCATGATAACTTTTTTTTTTTATAATAAAATTAAACAAAACTTTTTATAATTTTATTGTTTAAGTCTTCTATAATAAAGTTACAGAGAGCTTTTTTTCCTATCTCATTTGGTTATAAAGTTTTCCTATTAGCAATCTTTTTTCAATTTCTTTAGAATATATAAAAAAAATTTTTTTTTTATTTAGCAAAAAAAAACCTCTCTGTAATCTAAAAGCTTAATCTATTTACTATAATTTCTCTTAGTTTCATGTCTGTATCTCTTTATTTAAAGGCTCTGATACGATTTTTATTTATATAGTTTTTACATATATTCTTATTTTTTAAAAAAAAGAAGTTTTGTTATTGATCGGCATTATGTTACATCACCTAATTTTGATTTAATTAGGGCATTTCACACCCCAATACCCTTCGTAACAATAAGGTTTACGTATACGTAATAAATTGAAAAAACTTTATGTATAATGTACATATTAAAATTACAAAAATTTACTTTGACATAAATATATTATAAACAAATAGTATCATTAATTAATGTGCAAAAGCAATATATATTTATTATTAATATTATCCAATAAATACAATTATGAATTGTCTAATATTGTTCAATATCAAAATCATTTTCATCAGGACACTAAATTTAATTTATAAAATTAGAAATTGATCCAAAATCGCCATTATTTTTTGATAAAATTACATTCAAATCTTACCAATATTTCATCCATTTTTTTTCTGATAAATTTATCATCCGCTTTTACACCATCACGGTGTTCATCTAAAACACAAATACACACTGCAACCTTTTCACTAGTAATTTCTTGCTTTTTCCAGACTTTTCTTAAAATTGTTTCGAAATAAGTTTCATCATCTGTTACATCATATTCGGTTTTCTTACTATCGATAATTTGATAACACCACCTTACTATGTCCGATTTTTTCCAAGTATCCACATCTTTTATAGATGTATTGGTATTCACTGGTGTTATACCACACTCTTTAAAAACTTTAAATAGGCTGTCTTTTATTAGAGAAGAATATTGCCCTCTTAATTTCCTTGCTTGACCATGTGCCTAAATAAATTAGTTATTTTATTTTGATGAATTAGAGCAAGCAAAGAAATAGTTTATTTTAACTTACATGCGAAGATATTTTTTCAAGCCATAGAGGCATCCATTTTTCATTTTTTAAACGTTCAGAATTATGTGCTTTTAGTGCATCTCTAGATGCATCCATTAATTCATCTTCAGTCGGGTAAATTTTATTTTTCATAAATTGTTTGATAGCAAGATTTATAGGACTCTGCAAATTATATAAAATATCAAACATTATCATAAATAAAATGCACAAATCCATACACGATAATTACCTCCCACCAAGATTAATTCTAGTTTCTTTATTTTCCTTCTTTAAATTTATTATTTCAGCATAAGTAGAAGATATCATTTTTGTTAAATTATTAATTGATTGTTTTAATTCTATATAGATAATATAGATAATAATAATGAATGATTCAATTAATATTTGCATTAAAGATAGTGGCCGTAGCCTTTTTAAAGCCAGTTTTGCCTTTCTCCAATAGTTTTGGCCACCATTATTAATTTGTGTCAAGAAATAAGTAATAATAAAAAATAAAATAAATAAAAATAAATACAACCATCATTATCATTATTATTATCTTCACTAATCTTAATGAAGCTATTATTGCTAATGTTATTACTTTCATTGTGAACTAACACTTTTCCAAGCTCAATGCTGTCATATATATTGATGGGTGAAAAGGAACCACTGACATTAGATACGTTGTTTTTCCTATTATTATTAGATTGGCTAATTTTACTTATAATTTCTTGAACTAATGTAGGTTTAGTAGTAATATTGTGATTAGCGTTAACTTTAGTTGATTCATTCAACATATTTTTGGATTTCTTGATTGATGAATTTCTCAAAGGGTATTTTCTTTTTTTCGGTTGTGACATTTTTAATATTAAGAAAAAAAAAAGTTAAAAAAAAGTATATTATCATTACGCGTACATATTAAATGGGGCATGCTGCAACAAAACCAGACAAAGTGAACATTGGGTATTACCAAAATTTTAGGGGTCAAAATTTATAAAAAGTTTTTTACCATCAGCAGGACTTTTATGTAAATTAGATGCTTTAGATTCTGCACCAATCCTACAAAAAACGAATCATAATGAACCTTTTTTTTTTTGAAAATTAACTGAAAAATATATAAAAATCAATATATCATACCATGAATGAGTAGTAACATAATTGAAATAATGAATGGTTTTGTTAAAAATAGGTTCCAAGTAATCCACAATATAAATTGCTTCATTTAACTTTTTCATATCAATTAAGGAATTCCACAGCACATACTCTTCAAGTAATCTAAAAAAAGTTTTATTTTGTACATCCATTTTGACTTATTGAATATTCCTTGATATATTTTTCAAGTTATTCAAGAGCATCCTGTTGAAATTTCTACAGATAAATATTTGTGGAAAAAAAAATAATATAATTATAATTTCAAACCTTTTTGTTTTCCTCTACAAACAACTTGATACCATCTGAAATTCCAATATGCTCAAAATGTGAGTTGACAAATGACTTGATTTCAGCAGTTTCATAAGGTGTTAAAAAATTAATATATGTATCATCAGTTTTCTGTTGAAAATAAAAAACTGATGAAGCAGCAAACAATTTATGAATATTTTGATTTGTTGGACAATGTGTACCAGACTCTAATTTTTTAAGCATGTGTTGCTGCAATTTTAGTAATTTAATTTGCAATTCGTCAGTACTGTTTTCAATTGCTTTTTGGACCTTTTCTTGTATTAATGACAGTTCAGTAATTCCTTCTTCATCGTCAATTAAATCAATTATATCAACATTATCGAATTCATTTTTGTCATGTGATTTGTTAACATCCAAATCCTTTTGTTCAGAAACACATATTCCATCAATAATCGATTTTGACTAAATTAAAGAAAGAAAAAAAAACAGTTTAAAAATGACAATTATTAATATAAAGAATAGTTGCAAATTTCTGTTGTTGCTCTCCTTGGAGTATTTTTTCACTTCATCTTCGTGAGATCTTTTTCTATTATTTGGTACTGCTTCAGATAAATCTGCAATTGGTCAATGTGCACCAATCCCTCTTATTTATCCAATACATCTATCTATATTGGAACTTATGAACAGTTCTCTATATAATTAGAGTGATGACAAGTGGATAACCACCATTCTTATGATAACACTTATTCTCTTCTATCTTTATCAGTTACTTCCTTTCGCTTTATACTTTTAATTGAATGCATTTTGGATTTTTTTTTTAAAAAAAAAACACGTAAATGTTTATTATCAGACCAATAGTAATAGGGTTTTGATGATCTGCATCATAGTAAAATTCGAATTTACATAATAATAGTAAAATTTTACAATCAAATGACTTCTAATCCCCATTTAATACCCCTGCTGTGTAGCGACCACCGCCAAATTTGAGATATAACTTTTTTATCATATGTATCTGCTTTAAGAAATTTTTTAAAGCAGGTTGTTAATAAAACCGAAAATAATCTGATCCTCAAAGTCAAATTTCGCCTTTATATTCATATATGTAAAGTTTTGTTTGACGCGTCCAATTGCAAGTATAAGTAGAATTTAAAAGTAAATATAATAAATAATTAGATATTAAAATTTTTTCTTTACTATACATAAATAATGATTAGAATAGTAAACAAGCAACAATAATGATTAAATTAAAAGGTGTTCTATCTCTGACTTTATTCATTTAATTATTTATCATAGTGATGTAGTAAATCCATATAATAACTCAACTGCCAATTGTAAATCTATTACTATATTAATCTATACTTATTTCGAATTTACAGATCCCATTCAATTTTTTAATCTTTTTATCTCACTACTGCACAATTCTTTTGATGGTTGTCTTTTTTATTCTGCGATTTACTTTTTTCATCCAAGCCTTTTCATGTTCTGGTAATAATTTGTCGACGAGCGAGTCGTCTTTTGAACTATTAAGATGGTCCTCCTTACATTTAGGTAAATAAATACAAATGTTATTGGGGTGTTACGTATTTTTCGAAAAAATTTTAAAAATTGCTATTTTGAAATTTGGCCACATGACGCAGCAATAGGATGTCTTTAGACCGAGCCAACCATATAATAAACCTACGTAATCTAAAAAAAAAAAAAAATTCAAAATAATTCAATGGAATAAAATTTGTCCAATTAAATGTTGTAAACTGTATATATCCCATGCACAACTTGAAATATAAGGCTCATTTTCCATTACTAGTACTTGTTTCGGGGTAAGACATGCAATGGCGAGCCCATGTGACTCTCTTAAATGTGTTATTAAAGTCCAGCGAGTGAGAGAATGGAACGCTTGCTGGTGGCTCATGCTGGGTATATTGACCATTCGTGATATACCTCTCTCTTTTGTTAATTTTTATTGTTTATTTTATTTAGGAAACATTTAAAAAAAAAAAGAAAAGAGAGATAAAATTCGTTAATTGATTTGATTGGTTACATTTGTAATATATGAAATCCATCAATTATGAGAAGCATTTTGAGGATGACAATAAAGATTAAGATCTGATTTTGTTTCATGAAAATACTCAAGTTTTTCAAAAAACGGCTGTCCTATTTATATGTTTTGGGTTTACAAAATAGATTACTGTGTCTTGGCCCAAGTGATGTCTTTTTTTTTGCTCTTTGCGACGAAGATGCAATCCCAAACCCAACTTAAAATAAATGAATTTTTGTTCTCGCGTAACATGGTGTGTGTGATTTGTAACACGAAAACCATAAGCTCCGTTGCATTATCAGTTGTGAGCTTGTTGTCATTATTATTAATTTTCATTGCATTGCCCAATAAAACAATTCATGGAAAGAAGAAAAAAATTCATTAGATAAATTGTTTTCAATAGTGAATCAGAAAAAAAGACATTCCTTATTGCAATATAATTATTTATCTCAGCATTTTTATGTTGCTCCTTTATTCAAACTATAAAATACGTACAAATTCTATAATAATTAACATGCTTTGATAATAATAAGATTTAATTAAGTTTATCTACTATATGCTAAAGTTTACAAATAAAAATAAGTATTTTTTTTTGTATATATATAATATATATATTACTGAAAACTACTCGTCATAAATATATATAAAAAAAGATGTATCAATAATAGAAGGAAGATCGAATAATGTCTTTTATAGTTTTGATTAATGAAGACTATATATAATTGGATGTTTTGGAATCAAAAAAAAGTGAAACGAAAGGAATTGAAAAAAGATCAGATAAAAAACCATACACATTTATAACCAATTCATGTTATCATGTTGAAGTCTCAAGTCAATGTTTATCAACTAATCTCAATACAATAAAGTTATGGTGATCTGCATGTTTTCGCCATTGACGATACTAAGTTATCCACATCTTTAGATTTTTTTCCGGTTTTTTTTAAGGAATGATCTAAATTTTCAATCATTCTCGCCATATATTGCACTGCAAACTATAAAATAAAATGGTTGTCAGATTAAAAAATCAAGACTATATCAATCACTATGAAATGGCAAATTTATAAATTTTTTACCATGAGTTTGTTCATATATTGATAATATAGATGGTTGTCGTTTCTAACTGGTATTGTAATCGCTTTTATCAATCGTATTCTGTAAATCCCGTAACCTGTTTGATCGAACGAATAAATTCTCATATTGAAACCTATTTGATAAACAAACAAATATATATATAATTAGCAGTTTGTTCGATGTCAAACAGGGAAGGAAAAAAATTTACCCGATATGATTATTCCGTAAATTTCGAGGTTTCTTAAACTTAAATCACCATGATTATATCTTCCGTATTTATTATAAAAATATTTTAAAATGAGATCGTAATTGTCTTTTAGCATTTTGAAACATTTATGTGTATCTGAGAGATCTTTGTCTTCGGTACATGTCCATGGCGTCCAACACACCTCCCCGAGTAGAAACTCGAAATTTACAGATTTAGGGTCACGGTATGACCTTTGTGTCAGTAATGTGACGTCAGATTTCCTCCCCATACCTCCCTATAAATGATCAATCAAATAAGAAACTGTTAAGATTACTTATCAAATTTTCTTATGTGAAAAATCACTTTTTTAGAAATTTACATTTTCGCCATTATTCCTTTCTTCTAATTTTCTTCTTTTGCTTCCAATACTAATCCTTTCACACCTGTTAAAAATTATATTATTAATACATTTCAATATACATGCATAAACGAAACAAAAAAGACATATATAATCTTACGTAATCAAATCTAACTCCTTTATGTCACGATTTGCGATGGTAAACGGAATAGTGATACAGTGGCTCTGCCACGTCCCTTCATTCAGATACCTTTTCTTTTTAACATAATCATTATTCTTACGGATGCAAAAGCTAGCAAATTATTTGGTAGTCATATATATATATTAGTGTGTTGGTTATATATATATATATGTTAATGTGTACATATGTATATATTAAGAAAAATATATAATACAAGCTTACAAATGATTTTTCATTTCGTTAATATTAATTTCACTTATAATTTCGTTGCCATTATTTATTATACAGCTCTTTGTATCCGAAATGATAGCCCATTCCTCGTCAGTAAAACTGTTTCTGAACCACGGATGTGGATGCGAAGTATCTATTATCGAAGAAGCAATTGGATCGTTTCGATCCAAATATGAAGGTGCAAACGCATTGATAATTTCTTTAATTCTCGTTTGCAAACCTTCTTTTGATACCAAATTATTTTCTATCGGTTTTAATATTTTTTTCTTGTGGATTAACCACGGCCATAATGCCAGCTTCTTAATCTAAAATAAAAATAGCTAATTAATTAACGTTATTATTATATTAAAAATAAACAAATATACAACTATTGTATGAGTACGTACATCAAGTTTTATCAATTCTAGCTCACTTTTAGGAACCTTTTTTTTTTGAGGAAATAAATAATGAGCTTTTTTTTTATAATTTCTATTATGATTCATTTTCTATTAAAATAAATTAACTTACAGAATCTGATGATGATGATGATGATGATGATGATGATGATGATGATGATTGTCTAAGTATAGATACAAAGGAGTTTTAATCTAATATAGTATCTTTTTTTTAAAAAAAACTAGAGTGACGAGTGATGGCAATAACCACCACCACTATCCTTAAAAACACTTACCCAGCGATATCAGCTTTATTATTTTTTTTGCTTCTTTTATTCGAATCTTTTTTCGAAGACATTTTTTTTTTAATATTAAAGAAATTTGTGTGATTGATCGACGCGTACACATTAATTATTTATCCTATATATTACTATCAATATTGGTTTTTTTTTCTGGTAGGACAGACGCGAATTGATTTTTTTTTTTTTTTTTGGAAAAACAAAAAATAATTTATTTTTTGACAGAGTCCAAGGTGACAAAACGTGAGTGTTTTTGTTTGGTTTGGTTTGGGTCTCCTAAAGAATACGTGTTAATAACTAACCAGAGGTACAATTTTTTATTTTGCATTGATATTTTTATTTTATATAATGTATATTATTGGAATCAAAACGCGGAGCAGATCTTGCTGGGTAATTACAAGTTTTTCATTGATAATATTTTGCTTTGCGTAATCGTAATCAATATTAATAATAATATTATTATTATTATATTATTATAATTACAAGATGCCAAGGCAACACACCGTTGAATATGAAACATTTCAAATATGCAATGTTTGATTATCGGAAATTTACAGGCGTTGAAGCACGCACGCTGCCTTGAACACTTTACAGTCATTCTCTCATCTTCCTCGTGTACACAAGGCTAATCTGACCAAGATGCCCCCGATGATACAATGATGCAACAGAATTCCAGGGGGGGGTAACGTGGCCCTGGAGTTTACCGAGACTGCACCATCGTCAATGACACTTTTCACTAATCTCCCCAGACCAGAGATGGCTGCTGGCATGCTAGCCGAAAAGTTGTCTGCAATGATCCCGCCTCTAAGGTAAGGATGGCTCTGTGACCAAGCTATCACAACTCTGGAGGAATATAAAGAGAATCTGCAGCTTGTTCAAGCACAGGAGGTCGCAATCCAGAGCAGGGTTGGCGGCCCTGAAATTGCATTTGGGCCCTGATGTTAAGAGGAAAGTTGTAAAATAGTGTTTGTTTGTATAATCATTTTATAAATGCCCTGTTTTTTCGATACTAACCAATTTATGATTTTGGGTAAGGGACTGGATTGGGTTTTTGTCCAATAAGTCCTCTGTCCTGCAGGTTAAAATTATCGCATGATTATGTACATCTTTGTCAGCAATATGGCTGACAAGAAAAAGGTTATAAAATGGTTCGGATTTTGTTTGGCATGTTTTGTATAAATTAATCATTCCCAAATTTTCTGCTTTTCTTTAATTTTTGTCTGACCAATTGAATTTGTTATTTTAGTAAATGGGGGTAGGGTTGTTGGTGAGTAGGCATGCCACTGACAAGACAGGGGACGCCTTTGGGATATACCAGCCAAACTCATAGAAAGGGATCTTTTGTCCAGACTTAGGGTCACATGGATGTTAAGCACAGAAAATGTACACTATCAATGTATATTTTTTTCAACAAAATAAACATTTAAATAATTAATTGTTAAATATTAATACTTTTCTTTTCATAAAAATTACAGCAACCCAGGACTCAAAACTCTGAATTCGGGGAAAATCCAAAACAGCAATCCAGGTTACAACCTCCTGAGTTGCTGAATTCTCAAGCCAGTCTTAACACCAACTTTAATGCTAGTGTGGCAATAACACAAAGCAAACATCACACAAGCACCAGCTATCAGCAATCAATGTCCATATGGAAAACAGCCAAGCCTGGTCTGAGAGGGAGATAGGAGAATGTTTTGTCCAAAGCCTTCCAGCATGTTTAGGACTGTTTCACCTGTGGAGAAAAAAATCCATGGTGCTGAATTGTGCTTAGTTGCATGGTCTTGCATGTTTGTGACAGGAAAAATTCAATTAAATCTGACACCTGTGATTCAACATCAGATTTATTATTCATGAGCAACCATAATTGATAATCAGGAAAATAATTATTTTGTGAACCCCAGAGATCTGGGTAGACACGCATTATTAAAGTTTTGTTTATGCATGGCCTTGGTATCATTACTACCTGGGTGATGCAATTGTTTGTTATGTTGTGTTGCTGCAATTTTAGTAATTTAATTTGCAATTCGTCAGTACTGTTTTCAATTGCTTTTTGGACCTTTTCTTGTATTAATGACAGTTCAGTAATTCCTTCTTCATCGTCAATTAAATCAATTATATCAACATTATCGAATTCATTTTTGTCATGTGATTTGTTAACATCCAAATCCTTTTGTTCAGAAACACATATTCCATCAATAATCGATTTTGACTAAATTAAAGAAAGAAAAAAAAACAGTTTAAAAATGACAATTATTAATATAAAGAATAGTTGCAAATTTCTGTTGTTGCTCTCCTTGGAGTATTTTTTCACTTCATCTTCGTGAGATCTTTTTCTATTATTTGGTACTGCTTCAGATAAATCTGCAATTGGTCAATGTGCACCAATCCCTCTTATTTATCCAATACATCTATCTATATTGGAACTTATGAACAGTTCTCTATATAATTAGAGTGATGACAAGTGGATAACCACCATTCTTATGATAACACTTATTCTCTTCTATCTTTATCAGTTACTTCCTTTCGCTTTATACTTTTAATTGAATGCATTTTGGATTTTTTTTTTAAAAAAAAAACACGTAAATGTTTATTATCAGACCAATAGTAATAGGGTTTTGATGATCTGCATCATAGTAAAATTCGAATTTACATAATAATAGTAAAATTTTACAATCAAATGACTTCTAATCCCCATTTAATACCCCTGCTGTGTAGCGACCACCGCCAAATTTGAGATATAACTTTTTTATCATATGTATCTGCTTTAAGAAATTTTTTAAAGCAGGTTGTTAATAAAACCGAAAATAATCTGATCCTCAAAGTCAAATTTCGCCTTTATATTCATATATGTAAAGTTTTGTTTGACGCGTCCAATTGCAAGTATAAGTAGAATTTAAAAGTAAATATAATAAATAATTAGATATTAAAATTTTTTCTTTACTATACATAAATAATGATTAGAATAGTAAACAAGCAACAATAATGATTAAATTAAAAGGTGTTCTATCTCTGACTTTATTCATTTAATTATTTATCATAGTGATGTAGTAAATCCATATAATAACTCAACTGCCAATTGTAAATCTATTACTATATTAATCTATACTTATTTCGAATTTACAGATCCCATTCAATTTTTTAATCTTTTTATCTCACTACTGCACAATTCTTTTGATGGTTGTCTTTTTTATTCTGCGATTTACTTTTTTCATCCAAGCCTTTTCATGTTCTGGTAATAATTTGTCGACGAGCGAGTCGTCTTTTGAACTATTAAGATGGTCCTCCTTACATTTAGGTAAATAAATACAAATGTTATTGGGGTGTTACGTATTTTTCGAAAAAATTTTAAAAATTGCTATTTTGAAATTTGGCCACATGACGCAGCAATAGGATGTCTTTAGACCGAGCCAACCATATAATAAACCTACGTAATCTAAAAAAAAAAAAAAATTCAAAATAATTCAATGGAATAAAATTTGTCCAATTAAATGTTGTAAACTGTATATATCCCATGCACAACTTGAAATATAAGGCTCATTTTCCATTACTAGTACTTGTTTCGGGGTAAGACATGCAATGGCGAGCCCATGTGACTCTCTTAAATGTGTTATTAAAGTCCAGCGAGTGAGAGAATGGAACGCTTGCTGGTGGCTCATGCTGGGTATATTGACCATTCGTGATATACCTCTCTCTTTTGTTAATTTTTATTGTTTATTTTATTTAGGAAACATTTAAAAAAAAAAAGAAAAGAGAGATAAAATTCGTTAATTGATTTGATTGGTTACATTTGTAATATATGAAATCCATCAATTATGAGAAGCATTTTGAGGATGACAATAAAGATTAAGATCTGATTTTGTTTCATGAAAATACTCAAGTTTTTCAAAAAACGGCTGTCCTATTTATATGTTTTGGGTTTACAAAATAGATTACTGTGTCTTGGCCCAAGTGATGTCTTTTTTTTTGCTCTTTGCGACGAAGATGCAATCCCAAACCCAACTTAAAATAAATGAATTTTTGTTCTCGCGTAACATGGTGTGTGTGATTTGTAACACGAAAACCATAAGCTCCGTTGCATTATCAGTTGTGAGCTTGTTGTCATTATTATTAATTTTCATTGCATTGCCCAATAAAACAATTCATGGAAAGAAGAAAAAAATTCATTAGATAAATTGTTTTCAATAGTGAATCAGAAAAAAAGACATTCCTTATTGCAATATAATTATTTATCTCAGCATTTTTATGTTGCTCCTTTATTCAAACTATAAAATACGTACAAATTCTATAATAATTAACATGCTTTGATAATAATAAGATTTAATTAAGTTTATCTACTATATGCTAAAGTTTACAAATAAAAATAAGTATTTTTTTTTGTATATATATAATATATATATTACTGAAAACTACTCGTCATAAATATATATAAAAAAAGATGTATCAATAATAGAAGGAAGATCGAATAATGTCTTTTATAGTTTTGATTAATGAAGACTATATATAATTGGATGTTTTGGAATCAAAAAAAAGTGAAACGAAAGGAATTGAAAAAAGATCAGATAAAAAACCATACACATTTATAACCAATTCTTAATAATTATCATGTTATCATGTTGAAGTCTCAAGTCAATGTTTATCAACTAATCTCAATACAATAAAGTTATGGTGATCTGCATGTTTTCGCCATTGACGATACTAAGTTATCCACATCTTTAGATTTTTTTCCGGTTTTTTTTAAGGAATGATCTAAATTTTCAATCATTCTCGCCATATATTGCACTGCAAACTATAAAATAAATTGGTTGTCAGATTAAAAAATCAAGACTATATCAATCACTATGAAATGGCAAATTTATAAATTTTTTACCATGAGTTTGTTCATATATTGATAATATAGATGGTTGTCGTTTCTAACTGGTATTGTAATCGCTTTTATCAATCGTATTCTGTAAATCCCGTAACCTGTTTGATCGAACGAATAAATTCTCATATTGAAACCTATTTGATAAACAAACAAATATATATATATAATTAGCAGTTTGTTCGATGTCAAACAGGGAAGGAAAAAAATTTACCCGATATGATTATTCCGTAAATTTTGAGGTTTCTTAAACTTAAATCACCATGATTATATCTTCCGTATTTATTATAAAAATATTTTAAAATGAGATCGTAATTGTCTTTTAGCATTTTGAAACATTTATGTGTATCTGAGAGATCTTTGTCTTCGGTACATGTCCATGGCGTCCAACACACCTCCCCGAGTAGAAACTCGAAATTTACAGATTTAGGGTCACGGTATGACCTTTGTGTCAGTAATGTGACGTCAGATTTCCTCCCCATACCTCCCTATAAATGATCAATCAAATAAGAAACTGTTAAGATTACTTATTAAATTTTCTTATGTGAAAAATCACTTTTTTAGAAATTTACATTTTCGCCATTATTCCTTTCTTCTAATTTCCTTCTTTTGCTTCCAATACTAATCCTTTCACACCTGTTAAAAACTATATTATTAATACATTTCAATATACATGCATAAACGAAACAAAAAAGACATATATAATCTTACGTAATCAAATCTAACTCCTTTATGTTACGATTTGCGATGGTAAACGGAATAGTGATACAGTGGCTCTGCCACGTCCCTTCATTGAGATACCTTTCCTCTTAACATCAGAGCCCAAATGCAATTTCAGGGCCACCAACCCTGCTCTGGATTGCGACCTCCTGTGCTTGAACAAGCTGCAGATTCTCTTAATATTCCTCCAGAGTTGTGACAGCTTGGTCACAGAGCCATCCTTACCCTAGAGGTGGGACCGTTGCAGGCAACTTTTCGGTTTCCTTTGGTCTGGGTGCCGTGAGGGAAGATTAGTGAAAAGCATCATTGACGATTGATGCAGTCTCGGTAAATTCCAGGGCCTTGGGCTCCCCCCCTGGAAATTTAAACAGCATCATTGTATCATTGGGGGCACCGTGGTCAGATTAGCCTTGTGTACACGAGGAATGAGAGAATGACTGTATAGTGTTCAAGGTAGCGTGCGTGCTTCAACACTTGCTAATTTCCAACAATCAAACATTGCATATTCGAATTGCTTCTTTTTCAATGGTGCGCTGCCTTGACTTGTAATTATATTAATATTACTGATTACAATTACGAAAAGCAAAATACCAATTGTTTATGAGAATCTTATAATCACCCAGCAAGATCTGCAACATGTTCTATTCCACGTTTTGATTTCAATAATATATATTTATATAAAATAAAAGACAAATCAATGCAAATTAAAAAAAATGGTACCTCTGGTTACTTATTAACACGTTTCTTTTTAGAACCAATCATGCTAAACAACATCACTCGCGTTTTGTCATCTTTAAAAATAAATTGTTTTTCCAAAAAAAAAATAAAATAAATAAAAATAGGGGTTCCATACAAATACATAAATTAATGTGTACGTCGATTGTCGATCAATCAAAAATTTTTTTTTTCAACCATGTCTGAATCGGTGGGAAAAAGAAAAAAAGTACAAAATATCGATGAAAGAAATGGGTAAGTGTTTATTAAAAGAATGATGGTTATCGCCACTTGTTGCCACTCTGTATAGTTAATTACTATTTTCAACATCATTTTTCTGTTGCCAGTCGTATTCTCACGGGAAATGTCGACTATGAAGAACAATTGGATGGCGAGTCTCTTATAAGCCTTGAAGAACGAAAACGTGCTTATGAATCCAGTGAAGGTCCATTAACTCCTCAAAAAAAGATTTCTCTAAATTTGGATAGTGACGAGGTATTTCAAATTTTCATTTATCTAGAAATTACATATGCTTTATTTGATTTTCAATTTTTTATTGTTACAGAATACAATTCGAAATATACCCTTAGAAAATCCATTTTTTTGTGAAAATGAAATGATCGATTTTGATTTTAAAGATTTAGAAAAACAACTTGAACATATAGAAGAATCACAAAATGATGTATGTTGTAAATAACTTTTATTTCCTTTTTTTATGCATAAATTGTAATTATTTGAGCTTTCTTTTTTATTCTATAGTGGATAGTTGATTCAATAAACGTTTCTAAAAAGTTTAAGGAATATCAGAAGGACCTAATTTCTGCAGTAAAAAATAAAAAAGTAAAATTAACATGGGCAGATACGTATGAAATACTGTAAGTATTCCAATATTTATGGTTGAATTGTATACTTATGAAAATATAAAAATTCATTTTTTATAATATTAGCGCCATTTCATCTATTATTGTATTAACACTTCCGTGTCCATATAAACCAACATTCTCAACATCGCAATGGAATAAAATAATTAGTTTGAATCCATATAAGATTGAACAGCCAATTTTATCACAATCTGTTTCATCATCATTACTTGAGGCTACATATTATGCTTCATTGAATTTGGAACATGAGTTAAATTTAAATGATAAAAGTGAAATCGCTAATAAATGTTTTAGAATTTTTAATAATTTGTAAGTTAGGCTGTCAAGATATTTGTATATAAATATTTTCAAAATAAAGTTAGAGAAATGGGAAACTAATTTTTCTTTTTATTACATTTTAGAAAATCAGAACTTCCTATCATTTATGAAAACAAAAGAACTGAAGACGAACATTGCTTTTACTTTTTATATCCAATCATTAAACCCATTTTTTGTGACTGTACTTATAAAAACTACACATTAAGACTAAACAAAAGTACTATTGGCACATCTAAGCGGCCAGATTTTAGTTGTCTGGTGGATAAAATTCCTATCCTAAATTCCGAGATTAAGCCTCTCAGCTGCACCCCTTTACAAAAAAAAAAAGGATTATGTGAAGGTTCATCTGAAAGCAAAAGGCACTATTAATAAGATGGCAAATCTCCAGGGTGGACCAACTGAAGCGCTTGGCTTTTTAAATATGGGTATGTGTCTTTGTCATTGCAATATTTATTTATAGTTTTATAAGCAACATATATGACTTTTTTTTTTAATTCAATAAAATTCATTTGATGATCTAGGTGATTCTGCGGAATCATTATTAATTGATCTAAAATATGATGGTATTTATAGATCATTTGAACTTTTTAAAAGTAAATTAGTAATAGAAAAAGTGTCATTTCCTTTGCTAGTTCCAACAATTTCTCATTTTCTGCTATTAGAGGTCAGTGTGTTTTTATCTTTGCTTTTTTTACAGCAAAATCTTTACTTATAGTTCCATCATATGTTATTTTCACAGGAAAAGGTGAAAAATTTGGTAGACGAGTATGAATATTTTTCATCTAATCCTATGCCAAAATCAACATTTATTAGAGAATTTCCATATTCACCGCAGATTAAATCATTGTTAAAAAAATGAAATAAATTTATCCCTTTATCACAAATAAAAGTTTTTCACTATAATTCTGTGTATATACTATTTAAAAAATCCATAATAGTCTTGTGACATTTTGTTTCACTTTATTTTCTATTACTACATATATATAAAATTAAGGTTTGAATTTGTGTTGCAGATCTTTTTTAAAAAATATTATATATTGGTTAATTCGTGATTCTTAAGAATGAGTGAATTTTAATTAGTGATCGGCGGGCGCATTTGTAACATTTTATATAGTGCAAGTCACTTAGTCGCTGAACTTTTTGTGCTACACCGCCATTTTTTGAGAAAAAAATTTCCAATCAAAAATGCAATAAAATTTGTATGGTCACGTGTTTTTGAAGATTGTC